GGACGAAGAATCCCTCTTTACCAAAATTCCTATTCCTGAAACTCTCAACACTGCTCTTGTTTACAGAGCCGTAAAACTATATCAGCCCGAATCACTGAACCCAGAATTAAAACACTCTCTCTCTAATAATTTCCACATTAAAAATATTAAGCGTTCGAGCAAAAAAAAAACACTTCACCACAAACTTCCAATAGCAATGAGGCCGAAAGCAATCCTACACTTGGCACTGTGGTCCTTTCTTACATTCAAAATATCACTGACCACACATCAAAAGTTCTAAAGAAGTGTAACTTCAAAATCAGATTTACCACTTGTCCAAAATCTCTTGACATCTTCTGTCCGTCAAAGATAAAATTCCATTTGAGATGCCAGGAGTTTACAGCATTCCGTGCCTATGCGGCAAAGAATACAGTGGAGAAACCGAACTAGGCTCAAAGAACACGAAAGAGCCTTACGAGTAAAACAAATAAACTCATCAGCTGTTGCCGAACATAATCAGGGAACCAGGCATAAAATTTTTTTCTATAAAACTAAAATTCTTGCATGTAATCAATTCTTCTACAAACGAAAAATCCGAGAGTTTATTGAAATCTATAAACAACCAAACAATATATAAGCACTTACAAAGTAAAATGCCAGTCAGTTTCAGTCAAGCCCTGAACAAGCCAATACGATGATTGGCGAAACGTCATGAAGTTCAACTCAGCAAAAACCGACACAGACGGAATCCCGAAGTTTTGTAAAAAGTATTACAGTAGCCTGTGAAAGTTTCTTTGAAAAATTAATAATATTTGCTTTCAATTATTAAGTTATTGGTTCGGTTTAGGTCCAACCAGCGCCTGACTAACGTAGATACAAGTGCAATATTTCTGGCAAACATATTGCCTTAAAATCAATCAAAGAATTACTTTCCGAAATCGGGCGACGTATTAAAGAAAACATCTACACAAATAAATTAAGTTTAGCAAACAGCTTTAAAAACTAATAAATCTACCAAAAACATATATAATAAAATAGAAAATAAAACAGTTAGCAACAAAGTATTTTTCAAAATATAGCGAAAATATGAATCGCCTTATACCCTCTCTACTGTGAACCGTCATGTTAAAAAGGAGAAGAGTGTTCTAAAGACCATACCTATTTATATGTACATTAATACACAATCAATCGGGCAACGTTGCTCGGACGCTCAGAAATCTGCCCAATAAATGAAAAATATACATACGGACGCTAGGATGCTGGAATGTAAAAGTTTTCCCGTGTATATTGGACGCTAGCAAGGTACCTCTATAGCGGGATCTATATATATATATATATATATATATATATATATATATATATATATATATATATATATATATTCTCACGTATTGATTCACGGATGGAAAAATGTGATGACACTATATTCCGGGATATCATCCGTTCGCTCGTTGAACTCCGACTGGAATCCTGCAAATCTTGCATCCGACTGGAATCCTGCAGACGTTTCGCCAAAATCTCACTTGGCATCTTCAATGCTCGCGCTCCGTGTTCGAAGTGTTTTCGGAGCGCGAGCATTGAAGATGCCAAGTGAGATTTTGGCGAAACGTCTGCAGGATTCCAGTCGGATGCAAGATTTGCAGGATTCCAGTCGGAGTTCAACGAGCGAACGGATGATATCCCGGAATATAGTGTCATCATATATATATATATATATATATATATATATATATATATATATATATATATATATATATATATATATATATATATATATATATATATATATATATATATATATATATATATATATATATATATATATATATATATATATATATATATATATATATATATATATATATATATGTAAACTTAAATTTATTTAAAATGTATGCACAGCACAAGGGTAGTACGAAACCTTGACGTAAGCGAAGCATTGTGCCTACAAGTAAGCCTAAACGCATGCCCCGCATATTGTTTGCTACATGCGAAATTTGTTAATATGAACCCTGCCGAACCCAACGTTATGGACGATTAACATATTTGTTTGTGATTCAAATTATGATAAAACACTGATGACATATGGCAGGGTTGAGGTTTTTGGTAAACATGAAGTAGAACCGTTCTGAAATGTTTATAGTTTACATAAGCTAGAGCGATCAGTAGATCTAACATATAGGATGCAACGGGGCTACTTCTGTGAAAAAGTTCCGAAAACTTTGATATTTTTAATGGGACAACCGGTATATTACTGAATTTTCCGATCTGCAATTAATTTTTGTATAACATGAATTATTTTGCCTATTTTTTGTTCAACACGTAGCTCAAATTAAATTTTTATTTTGCGTATAGTTTACGAAAGTCTCATGCAATTGTTTTGTGTAGACAAGTTCACTTTGTAATACGCAGGGTGCAATTATTCCGATGGAAACAAAAATAATGAAAATTTCATTTTTTAAAAACCCCTTCAAATAATATACCATGAAAATGTCAATCGAACATGTAGTAAATTTATGTTGCGTCTAATCTTCCAGCAGCCCTGAATCACTCAATAAAAACTAAAATAATCAGTAAGTGCAAGAGCATTCCTTGAATTTCCGGTATAAAAATTTCATTGTGTTTTTGTAAAAACAGTAACCGGGAACCGCAACATCAAAACCTGTACGGTAATTCAATATTTGTATCGATGCAATTCTTGTTGATATCCAGGCATGCGTCATCGACAATTCCTAAACGGAGGAAGTGGCAGTTATTTACGTCACGCCGGTTATTTTCGTTATTGTTCTTTAGAACCCGGTCAAAAAGGCGGATTTATACGACGGAACGAGATTTAACGTTTTAAATTCCACTATAGCGGAAGGGTGGGTTCGAGAGGAAGTTGCACGTTATTCAGCCGAGCGTAAATAGTGCCAGTCAGGTGGTTCCGATAACATTACTTCACGGAATCTGACTGACGTACGTTGGGGGTACTCTTTTGGTCATTATACAGAGTGTCCCATGCCTTTAGAGCAACAAGTAACGCCACAAATAAAAAAATAAAATGGGTGGATTTTTGGATTTTCTTGTTATTTTTAACCACTTAACATCTTACCTCCTTAGGGAGCGAAGTGGAATCCAAAACTGATGAAATGGGTTAGAATGAGAAGAAGTTTTCGAAATAAACACGCCAACAGATTTTCAAAAAAATGGTAAGCAACAATAAATCAGTCGAAAGAAGATCCAGAAATAGACTTTAGACGTCAAGGATATGTAAAATATTGAAATTGAAACTTGACTTCAAAATTTTGCTTACTTATAAAAATATTAAATTCATCATCGCAAAAGGCTTGACATATCGACGTTGATCAAGACTACAGATTTTACGTAGAAAAAATTTAATTCCTTTTTTCCGGTGTGAATGAATCAGCGTCGTTCTTCATTAAATATAAAAGCACCCTCTAGATGGGTTCAAGCTAATTCGGATTCTACATTAATTGAATATCCCTTACCCATGTTGTAAATTTTGCAAAGTTTAGTTGCATTTTCAACACACTTTGTAAATAATAAATTGTGGGATACTTACTGTGCATGAAACTTCCTTAGTTGGCATTCTTTTTTAACATTAAATATTGTTGAAGAGATACTTACACGCACAGGGTTATACACACCAACCCTACAAAACTAACCAAAACTAAGTTCTTAGTATTCGATGATATATATATATCTATAATTAGTTTTATCCCATTTAAATTTTCATTTCAATTCTACCCTTCAAGATTCCGGTTAGTTGGCCACAATTATTAACACTTAATTAGACTAAAAAATTTGACATCGACGAAATCCGTTATTTCAAATTTCTATGTTAATTGCCCTTTTTTTGTTTTCTTTTATTACGGATTGTGGTAGTTGTGAAGGATAGCTAGTATGATACTAAAGTAGATACCCTATTTAAAATAATGACGTTTTCGATATCAAAGTTGTGTTGACAATATTTTAGTAAACTAATCAACAACAATAAAATAGGTAAATCTGTAGTTATTTGTAAAATGTACCAACAAACTATTGTTTATGCACCCCCAGAATTCAAATTTATGCTTAACATTCAACATTAATAACCGGTCTGTGTGACGAAACATGTAACCTATATTTACTTTCAAAGTCTAAAATACACAAGAAGTAATTTGAAAAATTTGCAACAATAATGATTAAGTTTTTAACAATAAAAATTGCAGAAAATTTTGTGCGAGATTTTCAAAACAAAACTATTCTTTTTATGTTCTGAGAACTGCAATATATGTCTCCCAAAATCTTTAATGGGGTTAAGTCCTCGATATTTTAGTGCTCACCTCGCCGACAAATTATATTCTTCATAAAGATCATTTCTACATTAGTCAAGGGAATATTATCGAGTTCGTCGATATAGAATTTTGCCCTAGTTTCAGTTACTCGAATTCGGATTCGAAACGCCACCACTAACTTATGGCAAGTGACTTTCGGTGCGTTTTTCTATAAATAATTAAATGTGATTACCACTATTTGGGTTACGGGTAGCAATTTTTTTTAAAGTAACACCAAAAGAGTAGGTAAAAAAAAGGTAGACTTATTAGAATTATTTCATTTTTCTTGTAGTTTAAAAGTTCAGTTAATATGTAATGCGGGTTTTTGCTTACATGTACGAAAGAATCTGGTACACACCACAAATACACACAATTTATTATGTACATTACAACAAAAAGCTTTAACTTGTCGAGAATGAATGACAGGAGGACAATGTCAAACTATTAGCATAATATAAACGGAGGCCTGCATAAACAAAAATTTGTTGAGAATGAGGTTGAAGCTAACTTGACCCATTCGCATACTTTTGTCGCTGGTCATAAAAATTTGTACTAAACGCATAAATACCACTAACAAAAAAAGCAACAATTTAAGGTGCGACTTTTGCTTTAGAAACAAAAAACCTTAAAAAACTGCAACAATTAACACCATATATTATATATGATATCATGGCGATGAATAATTCTTCTTTTTTTTTTCAGAATCGAACCGACGTCGGCCATTATGAATATGCCTGCGATTATAAATGCAATATTGACCAGGTAAGGACTACCTTTTCAAAAATATTAAAAATCTATTAGCAATAGAATAAATACTCGCCAATCAAGACACCATACAGAGAATGTGGTTCCTTCACGTGTTGAACTAAAATCGTTGTTGAACTTTACCCCAAAATTACAATAACAATAACAATTTTTACAAATTCCGTCTGCGCGACTTTTATCAAGAATCAAAATTTAACAAATTTGTTTATATTTAAATACAACATTAAATATAAAATATGCTGACATTTATAGTTTTTATCTACTGCACTACTTTCGCAACAAAATACTTTGTTACTAACCTAAATTATTTATACCACTTGTACTCAAATATTTAAAAGAAATTGAACGAAAAAGTTAAAATTACTTGGGTTGATGCTACTTTGCTGTTAAGTGCCGTACTGAAGTAGAGTGCAATAGTAAACATACTACGTAAATTAACTAACTAGACCGTGGTTGGCGATTTTTAAAAAATAACTTTATTTTCGAATTACAAGTTTACAAGATTACAACATAAATATTTTCAACTGGCTGACTGCTGCGCATCTTGCCCATCGTTATATGTTGCGAGTCTTGCGCACTCAGCAGGGTCACAAGATGTATGGTAACATAACTCCTCCCCCCTTAGAGTTAACTACATCTGGTTAGGGGTAGTTCAATTGTCGGACTTTCTTTTTACATTTTCTTCGCTTAGAAACATCCTCTGGTGACCAAATACTTGTAGGCTACACAAACAGAAGCTACAACTAAAACAACATATACAAAAATAGTCCATATGCTATGTATTTTCGACAAATAATTAGGAAATCGATCAGGATCAGCTTCCAATATCTTAATCTCGATATGATTCAACTCGTCTAACTTAATTTCTTGTAGATGAAAACTTAAGTTAAGGACAGGCAGATTCGGGGGCGTATAATCAAAAGCGGGAAAAATAATAGGTTGGGTTTTGGTAATTCCTTTCTTGAAGTTCACAGTAGTTGTGTCGTCGATTTTCATTTGACATCCGGTTGGCAAGGTTAGCAACTAACTCCCTTCTAACTTCTGGTGCTCTTCTTGGCCTTCCCAGTTTAACTTTGCGAGCTTGCTTTTAGGCAAAATCAATAGCCATATGTTGGAATTATCCACTCGGTTCATTATTGGTCTACTTACATTGACGTAAATCTGTTCGCAGGAAGTTGGTTTTGATGATTGGAGTAACTGAACTTTGCAAAAACTCTTCGGTCCAAGTTCTTTAACATTTCCTTGCGGACATAGGTACATTGACGTCTTCATTTCTTTAAAGGGACTTCTTTCCGTAAGAACTCCGAGTTATCCAGCTGTACTTTGCAGTTAGATTCTCGTAATCGTTGGAAAACGCTTTTTAATCTCTTTAGATGTTCTTGTAGTGATTTTGAGAACACTATAATATTATCTAGGTAGACAAGACATTTTTCGTTTTGAATTCCACGAAGGATGTTACCATTACCCTTTGAAAGGCTGTCTTCTCTATGTCGTCTTCGTGCATTTGGAATTGATGAAATCCACTCGCTAACTCCAATGTTGTAAAGTACTGGCATTTTCCTAATTTGTCCAGGACGTCATTATTGTTCGGAAGGGGATATCTGTCGTCGAATGTTTTTGCATTAACTCCTCTAAAATCTACTACTACGGTCCATTTCTTTACTCCGGATGCGTCCGTTTTCTTCGGGATTGTCCTTTTCAGGGTGAACAGCTCGGTCTAATAATTTTCTGCTACAACATTTTATTAATTCGGCGTTCTACTTTTTGTTTATATATAAATGGGTATTTGTATGATTTTGATTAGACAGGCACCTCATGCGAGTTTCTTATTGGGTGTTTCATTTTACTAGTTAAAGTTAATGGTTCGTCTTCATTACAAAATATATCGGTATATTGTTTAATCAAATTCAAAATTTTATATTTTTCTTCGGAATTAAGATGATCAGTTCGAAATTTGGAAAAATCTAAATTAGGCAATTCTTTTCCGTTATTAAAACAATTTAAATCAATTTTTTTCAATTCTTTACAGTTAAATTTTTCAACAGTAATAGGTTGTGAAAAATCTAATGTAACAGGTATGCAAGTGTTATTTAAAACTGTCGTCAAAGCAAAATAATGTCTACAAACTGATAAACAATCTGAAATTTCGCAGTTATGATACTTTTGATGTGTAATAAGAATCTCACCGTGTGTTACTGACGTTTTAATTCTCCCGACTTGATCGACTCGCGTAGGAATTTTTATGCAGTTAAGTTCGGATTGCGTTTTTTGAAATTGCAATTTAATATTGTCGAGAACTAAAAGATCGTCGAATATGTTATGAAATTTGAATAAATAAAATTTCAAACACTTAGCTTCGGGTAATTTGAAAATTTTAGAAGCTGGGATCATTGGACCGTATCGATATGCTAATTTTTGAAATACAGCAGATACTACAAAAGGATCATTTATTACATTATTAGGATATAATTTTTGTACAATATTGGGATCAATAAATGAGAATCAATTTAAATTTTTATATTACTTTTTGGAAAAATAATATATGATAGCTCGCTTAGATTTGACAAATTAAAAGATATAATTTGAGGTGTTACGTCTTGTGATTGTTCGAAGGCATTTCCCGAAAATTTTCGTTTTCAGGTTGTTGTTCCCCACAAGTCTGTTCTTGTTCATCGTAGTAGGGTAAATAAAAACAATTTTCAGTATCATAATTATAGGATGCATTACCTGCATAATAATGATAGGTGATAGGTAGGTGTATCCTGGTAATTTTGATTATATATAAAATTTGGTTTTGTTGGTCCATGTTTTCGGTTTCGGCATTATAAACTTCTTCTATCGTGAACTTTGGTGAATTGTAATTTTTGTTTTGAGGTACTAGGTAAAGGTTTATATATTGTTAACTCTATTCCCGACATAAGTGTGGGTGGTGGAAAGTGTTTAAACATATTTGTTTGATTCTTAGGTTTACCGAATACTTGAGAATTAGTAAAATATTTTTTGTGGATTTCTATTAAAATTGGACCTTATATTGATGGGTTGTGAACGAAACTTAGGTTTAAATATACTACGCAGTGTGCGCATGTTAAAACTTGGTAGTCTAGGAAAACCATATGAGTTTTGTGCATTGACATTTTGTAGTCTGAGCATACCGTGATTTGGCTGAAATGGATACATTGGGAAATTTGTTTGAATCGGTTTAAAACTGGGAATATTTCTATCAATCGGAGTACTTGATTTGTATTGGTTTTGAAGATGATGAATGTTAAATTCTTGGGTTACAAATTGCAAAGACTGCGTTATGTTATTTGGCAGCATACATCTGATTGTAGTGCCAAGAGGTTCTTTTAACCCTGATAAAAACGTTTTTAAAGCAAGACTATTGTAGAGATTTCGTGTTAAAGTTTTAGATGCATAAGTGGTTTCATGACAATCTATATAAGAACATAACAAATTTAAAATTTGTAATATTGGGTCATAAAACTGAGATGGTTTTTCGTTGGGAATTTGTTTCATCATAATTAAACCTTGGTTCAAACAAGCTTCATCTCTTTGATGGGCAAAATTACATCGGAGGGAGTCCTTTAACTTGTCCCATGTGTCAACATTTTGAATATTTACAATAAGTTTGGCTTGGCCAGTAAGTTTACCGACTAAAGAGTTTAGTCAATAAGTATTTTGTAAGTAGTTATATCTTAGAAATGATCGTTTGGTACGCAATAAAGATAAAAATAAATAACTTTTACAATATGTGCTTTTTTCAGAAAATAAGCACATATAGAATTTTTCTCCACTTTTGTAATAATACTCTCTACAGTGTATCTTAAATTCGCTGGGTATTATTAGACTATTAGAATTTCAAAACGGTGATTAAAAATATTTATAAAACACAAAAATCAAAAACACATACGCTTCTTGAATCTATCATGAATTATGTAGGTTTATATAGAGATGGTTTTTTACGTGAAAGATATTTTGTTGAAATTTAAACATCACACGCTTATCTTAACACCGTTTCTATATAACTGCTGGTGTAGTTTTCATTACTTCTGTAATAGTCAGGGACGATATGTTTTGGATTTATTCCCCTAGTTTTCCGTTTTACCTTATAAATTCTAAAGTTATGAGAATACTCAAATTTAAGTTCCACTATTAAATTACTAATAGAAAATTAACCCGATAATATGAAAATTGAACCATTCTAAAATACCTTACAGGACAGAGGGAATTAGGGATGCGTTGCTTAGTACTAAAATTTTACCTCCTACTACATTCAAAGAGCTTGCTCGTAGCTGAACTGTAATCGATACATATTTTTCGCGTTCTTCTTTTGTTATAATTTTTTTTTATATAAATGAATTTATTTAAATAATAATAGGTATGTGTTTGATATAAGGTTCTTTTTCTTCTTTTATTTCTTGTTTTATTCTTTTTTTCTATTACTCACATTTTAGTTTTATATTGTAAGCTTAACTAACAATTTCTAAAGTTCTAAAAAAATAGATTCACCTACATTAATTGTATGTTTATTGAGCTCTGTAACATGCGGATTAACGTTGGTTTGGGTATTTTTCAAATTAGCTCGAGAAATACCATTCATTATATAATTAATTTTCTCGCTATATGATCGGCGTAATACAAAGTTGCTAGCTAATATTGTCAAATTTAAGTTATATATTTTGTTTATACTTTAAAAAGGTAAGCTCGTGGTAAATCAATCAGAATTCTTCCGGGAAAACAACTTTATTCTGTGTAAAGTGTTTAAGACTACCAATTGTTCTAAATAACTTTCAAAAGCAAATCTCTTTTCATTTCGAACAGTGATCGCTTGCATCAACATTTGCGGATGATAAATTCAAAAATTCAATAAAAATTTCAATCAGAAAAGTTATATCATACTACACTTAGTTGCATTTAATAGCTGTTTTAATTTGTCTTATCGCGTCGGCGTTATCTTCAGCGTGACTTTAAAAACAACGCTATTAACCTTTTTTTAA